CATTCAATTGAGGAACGTTCTGGTTGTCAAAGGTTTACTTCGGGAAAAACGGGTGCCTATAACGGACGTGGACAACTTATTAGCATCCATTATACTTACTGACGAATATCGAGCTACACTAATGGCTGAGATGAACGCAACAGAACCGTTTTTCACCTTCATCCGATCCTATCACAGTGTGTAGAAACTTCTTCTATTGTAAATCTTCCCGTGGTCAACAGCGGAGGGCTCACAGTTCTATAGTTAGGAGTATTCACCGTGCAATGCAGGAGACAGGCGAGCTAGGACTTAGGGCTTACACTGAATTAGAACGTTTGCTTGCTCTTGTTATATAAAACATAGATAGCAATGATAATAGTAAGAATAATAATACCGTCTGCCGAGAGCGTTCCAAAATAATTTCCAACCCTCAATGACTGTAACACCAACAATTATTATGAAACTGAAAATATCGATAGTTGAAAGTAGCAACAAACGGATGGAGAAGTCATCAATGGCTTGCATTATTCCCCTTTATTGTCCAGACATAGCTATTGACTCTCCTCAGTGGAATTCAGTACTTATTTTGACACATTTTTTCCATGGTGACTTTCAGTTGAATAACTGTAACAGAGTGGTAAATGAGCGGAGGTGGCCGAGCGGTAATATCACCAAATGATCACCTTAGAGAACGGGTGTTCGAACCCCAACATCATTGTCCGACTGCAGAGATGACGGTTGTATATGGCATCTACTGGATTGGCCAGCCGCTTTACCCTGCCTCGAAATTGGATCTTTATGAATTCAATCAAAGGAAGTAAAATGAAAAAGAAGTATGTCTCTCACAGAAAGCAAAACGAAAAATGCTATTGGCGGTGTATTCTCCAAGCGGGAAGTGATGTTCGCAGACTTTTCTTAGCCAGGCTGGCAATATCATCTGTGCAACTTCGGGGAAGCGCCAGCACTCAGTGTGACCGCGCTTATATATGTTCTGTTCGAGGGTTTTGATTGGCCGTTTGCGTCCCTTCAATCCTATTGGTTAGTTATGGCTATTTGCTGTGATTTGACTGGCTGCGTCGTTGTCATGCTGACTTCCATTCTTTCCACATTGGTCGATTGGCTTTCTTGAACCAACTGTAAACCGGGTTGAACTGGTTTCAAACTGGTTTGAACTGGTTGTGGGTAGCTGGGACAGCTTTGGGGCACTGAAAAGTCACCGGATTGTCGCCCCAAAACACGTGTGTTCGAATCCCGTCAACAACATCGGCTGAATTTCCCCATTTTTCGGGTGTGTTGTACCGGGAACCCTTTGGCGACTTACTTAACCCTTGCCGAGCATCATTGTATATCCAATAAAAGGAAGTAAAATAAAAAGGAGAAAAGGAAAGAAGAACCGGGGATTCAGCGAGAGAAGCTCACTTTTGCTCGAGGTCTGGCGACCGCCACGAGATCCACTAGGTCGTTTAGGATGCCCTGAGGAGGACCGGGAAGAAGAGGATGATGAGGAATAGGAGACGGTGTCTTTCGATTTCGTGGTTCTGCCTTGAGACAACTCCTTGGTTTTCGTTCCTGATCGAGATGAGACAGACGTGCGTGCGTTTGGGCCAGAGAACCGGGAAATGAAGCCACTGACAACGCCACCATTAGCCGAAATGGTGGAACAGGACGAGGGAGACAATGACGGCGAGAACAAAGGAAACGTGGGTGCCTGTGGTGACTCGACTCCAGGGAATGATTGATGCGTGTCCGACAGACTTGGACAACTGGATAAAGCCTGAATGACCAGTGGACCCAGAGTGAAGGATAATGTGAAGCGACACCGGTATCCGATTCCATTTGCCGGGGAGATGGTGAGAGTGGGGTGAGAAAATGGATGAATGCAAGAGCTGTATGAGCGTATTCTGTCGACGATGGCGAACTACCGAATCACGTGTTCGCCATTTTTGTATAAATAACGAAATATTGTGCAAGCTAGTTTCGCTTTAAAAAATCTAGCCCAACCGGAAACAGATATCCGAGCCGATAAGAAAAGAGTAATGAATCTATTCTATTCATGTTCTCAGTATAATAAACTTCCTCAGGCCAGATAAGTGTGCGGGGAGGGGTTGGGTTGGAGATTGGGCAGCTAACAGCAGACTGAACATTTTAACAAAAAGGTGGGAAATGCGTGCAACCCAGCAAAATAACAAATTTGTCCCTTTATTTCCCAAAAATCTCCTCACATCGAAAGATTACTACGTATCCCAGTTTGCCTTGCATCACGTGTCACTTATGCATAACTTACTTTCCACTTGATCGATTCATACCATTATAAAATATTTTAAATTCAGTAAATGATGAAATATGTCAGTCACCCACATTATATGAACACCGATCAATTGATGCGCGTTTAAGGCAGTCGGGGATAAACTCGCCGAGTCTATCATAGACAAACACCTACAAGCATGTGAAAATTTCGCTGCTAAAATGCTCTCAGACACTCGCCATCTGGTATACAACGAATTTACAAAAGCTCATCATCCACACGCTCATGATTCAAACTTTTATTTGCACGGGCCTCTTCTCATCGTAAATCTATTTTGCCATATCTAGCACGTCTACTTATTGATTAGGAGAAAATTTCCATAGAATTGCTTCGTTGACAAACACAATATCTACTGCTTTCAGTTTCATTATGCATGATGTTGTAAATTTGAATTCACAAATAATGCTGAAAATTCACGCATCCGGGTTCATAAAGCTACTAATGATTTGATATGTATTGACTTGAAAGAATCCTGTGTGCCTCGGTAAAAAATGAACCACACACAAACACACACACACCAGATGAATATGGTATTGAGTGATTTTAGCTCGGAAAGAGCGCGGATGTTGTGATAGGAGGATTCATGGAGCTGGAAATGTTCCCTGAAGACGTTTCGCAGTCGCAGTCCAAATTACGGGTGATTCGAATGTGAAAGGGTCAGTGGTATTGGTGTGGCCTCGTAGTACAGCTGGTAGACGGTGTGCTGCACAAAAGCGCAGGCGGCGTGCATGCATGGGTTCGAATCCCACCGAAGCTACTGAACTTTTCACAATTTCAACACGAGACTTCAATCTGCCAAAAACAATTTGAACGAGTCACACTAGAAAAATTTTCCTCCACAGGTCTGTGCATCTTATTAGCTGGTTAGAATCGGACTTCTCTGTGCATTTATCATCAAACTTGGTGATTTGGGTTCTTCGGATGCGGGCATTAGAAGGGGGGGGGGAAGCACTTAAGAATTATTTTGCTCATGAGTTTCTGATCAATGCACATCGTTAAAGAACTTCCCATGACAACTAAATGTTGAAAATTTCAACTGTTCCAATGAACCGTAAAAGTTCCATGACTCTGTCACGTTCGTAAATGAGATATCAGTTACTGTCCCACTGCCTCGACCAGGTGAGGAGCGATACTCAAGTCTTTAAAACTTCAACAAGAATTAATTGATCCTGTTTTAGCTAAATAAAATGATATGGGAACTGCTTTACCACATCATATCATATAGCAAACTCCTGATCAGTTTCAACGGAATCTAAGTCGGAAGATAAATTTTCTTGCTCTCATGACAGCACCCATGATGGTGACAAAATCTAAGGAGCAAGACACGTTTGTTTTTGCCAAATGACGATACCAGACGCGAAATCGGACACTGATTTGTTGGCTCAATTTAGCTCCCATAAAATCTTATTAGAATAACTCATTTGAATCAACGGGGTCAGAAATTGGTACAAGAATGTCTCTGGCATGCAAGCCAATGTCTGGAGTAGACAATTGGATGGAAGTAATACCTCACGCGTTCCCTGTATCGATTTTACGCTAGTGTATCACACACACACACACACACACATACACACACACTGCGTACACGACGGACAGACTGAGATAGGCGAGGTACAGAAGAACACATCCGTACTGAAGAGGAGGGAATGTTAAGGGAGTAGAAATTCACAAACCTTAGTTCTAACAAACAACCCCGAGTTGATTCTGTTTCGCTCTACTTGACTGCTCAAAGTTGCTTTCCTCGCAGAACCAGCCGGTATATCAAACCTATATCGTTTTTTCCGATAGTCGCTTATTAGATCGATCCCACTTGATGACTGATGGCATGTCTGCGTTGTACATACATGCATATCACACACATGAAGTGTCTTTTCTTGTTCCCGTTTGATCACTGTGCTCGGGTAACAATCGTCGATTTAGCGAAAAAAGTAAAATCTGCAATTCAACAGGAACCGATTCGACACAGCAACACACCCTTTTTAAGGTAGGACGTGTGTTCGATACGTGGATCGATCATGTGGAAAGAGAGAGAGAGTGACTGGTGTTCCACTGAGACCAGTGACGCAAATTGATGAGACGGAGAAACGAGAAACGTTGTTTTGACTTGAGTGACCGGATGTGACCACGAGATGGCCACGGCACACAATAATATGATAAAACAGAAGACCGTCCCGAGAATATGTGAAATGAATAGTCATTGGGGGTAATGGAAAACAGTGAGTTGTCGGATTGGCGCAGAAACCAGAGCAACTAGTCTTACTGATTAGCGAGGGGAAGGGGACCAGGTTGAGGGTGACGAATCAGCAATATATGTGGCGGCAGGCTCTAGTTGTGAATCCCACAGGAAACTTCATCATATTTTTACCGAGAATAACCTGGTAGTATTCTGTGGAATGATTTCTTTGTTGTAAAGATTATTTTATTATGATTTGTTTTGTGTACAGTCTACAGACTCACGGGGGCTCCGCTCAATGACAAGAGACAAAAATTTAGCATGAGTTGGTTGATGTCCGACAAGAATAGTACCTCTAGTTCAGAATTCTTCAATGAATACCGATTGGATTTAGGCAACTCGGCAGCATCGGAAAAATATAAATTGAGAACGAATTGAAAATCGATTCTCGTTGCTTAAATGGACTGAATTTCGTTAAACAAAATGCTAACATTTCGCTACATTTGTCCTTTTTCTGTATTGATGGAACATCATTTCGTTCGGTCGCCGAGATTGACAGATTGTTTGCAAACGTTTCATCATCACCAGTCGACATCAGTGACCAACTTCACTCCACCTAAACGGGAAGATGTCACCTCGATTGGTGATGAAATGTGTGGCAAACAAAATGCCAATTTCAGCGAACAGGTGAAAATACACACACACACACATGGTGGTTTCACAGTCCTACAAAACTCGAACACTGAAAGTGCCAATCAGTTCATGTTGCCTTTTATGATTATGCAAGAGTTCACCAAAGTGTTTTTGCCCACTCAATTTATTTGCCCACATTTTTTCCACCGTTCCTGATTAAATGAATTTACTAATTCGTCAAACTTTGATGCATCTCAGTCGCATAATCAATCAATCGCACGTACTAAAGAGCACTGATAGAAAATATCTCAGTGAAGTACGAAACAGTTAAAAATGAGTAGCGACTACATTTTTGTTAAGAATCGACCAATCTTTCTCCTCGGGGGCAGAATGCGGGGAGCCAATCAAAATGCGTAAAAAGACAAGCGGCTTGACTAAAAATACCACACGATTTGTTCTCAATCGACCGACCGCAGAGAAGCAGCAGAGCCTAATTTAGTAAGTCTCAGGGACTAAGGTGTGGGACAAACTGCTTGGATTTTCCATAAAATTTCACGCACGTAATCACTGCTCTATCGATCGACTGTTTGGGTTGCAGTGATATACTTGGTGATCGACTGCAGTTCTGCTGTATATAGCGGAAGATATCTGAATAGGATTCAACACCAGGAAACGAAAGCGAATCGACGAATCAGACTGGTATGCACAGGTCAAAGAGTTTCACATGAGTCTTAACCAAGCGTACTTGCTGTGTGCATGACACGCTTTCCTAGTTCATCAGTGGATTTGTGGAAAGAGTGGTAAAATGCCACTCGGAACTCAGAACCCAATCAGAATAACTACAGATAAATATCGATCTGAATTATACCCGTAACGTTTATGGACGCGCACACAGTGAATCTATTATGAACAAGGTATCAATACTGTTGATACCGGTATTAACCATGGTCATTTTCACTCTACCCTGTATATAGGTTGATTTGTTCTCATATTGCAATGAAGAAAAGTCGAATAATTTGCAAGGTATTGTGAGATAAATCTTTCCAACAGCCTTCGTTCGTCACTCACACAGACTCCATAGGATCCATTACTAAGCACACAAAGAACCAAGTAACCTAGCTAGCCCAGTATTAGTTACGTTATACTGGGGCGAGTGAAGGGGAAGTTGTCTATCAATAAATTAGTATGCCAGCGGCAGAATTCGAACCTTGGTGCTCGAAGCTATGTGCACGTCAAAGATATCGACTTGCACCGCTGGACTCCCGGTACTACTGTAACATTAAATGGGTGGGGGGAAACCAGAGGAGACCGATTGAGCGTTAGCAGACTTACGACAGGCAAGCGCAATTCATGTTCCGCAGCTGAGTGCACCTCGACCATGAGCTCTCGGTTACATGGAACCAATGTCCCAGGATGTGTGGACTTTGATGTGGAGGTTTGTGATGGCACATTGTTCGGAGACGGACGGGTTGTTTGTGACTGGATCGCACAGACACTCTCACTGACAAACGAGAGCAAGGACAAGGGGCATTCCATTGGACTGGTATAAACGCACGGGACAACAGGTGGGGGTGGACGATCAACGGACACAATCGGATAGGGAGAAGACGCTGCACGTGGATCGTCCGAATGGGAATCGTGGTCGGGCCATATATCATGCAAACGACGCAGATAGGTTTCACGTCGTTCCAGAGATGTCACTGTATTGCTGTTGGTTGGTGATTTGAGGCTGGATGAGTTTGCACGAGCGCACCCTGAGATTGACGATCGACGAGCACGAGCTTTGTGCAAAATACGTAACTGGAAGCCGGAAAAAAAAATCCCACTGTGCTAGGTTGTGTGCTGTGCAGGAAAACACAAAATTCATGTTCTCACATTCGAGCGTTATTTCTAATAGAAAAATAACTGAGAGATTGCTTTTTTGTTCGATACGTGCAAAAAAGTGATCAGGAGTTATTTGAAAAAATTGATAGAAAGTTTATAGTGATTAATTCTGTCATTGGACGATGCAAGAGAGTCGGTTTAGGAATACAAATGTATTTCGTACCACATAGAACATACACGTGATACAAGCCGCTGAAAAACCCGATACGACAGTTTTGATTTTCCCCTGCCTGTTCCAGATAGCGGCAAACCCAAAACAGTAGCATATTTAAAACCATAAATCCTCTGTTCATATCAACAGAAGGACACACTTTGCACAGCAATTGAAGACCAATTTGGGAAGAAAATGGCAAGTAAGTTATGGGGGTTCAGGTCCCACAGACCACTCTGCAATAACAACATTGCTGAGGAAACTTGAGAAACTTTTCCCCCAACCAGTTTGGATTGGTCAGGTTCCACAGTGGCACCAGCCCACTTTGTCTGTAGGCAGCTAAGATAATATTCATCTTGTCAGACGTGACAGTAGGTGGTTCGTTCTTCCATATATTCACTTGATTAGTCGGCCGGCTTCAATAAATACATGGGAAATTAACTTCATCCGTCCGTCCGTCCGTCCGGCTCTCTGTGTGTGCGTGTGTGTATAATTGAACAAAACAGATCCCTAATGAGAGAGAAATCANAGAAATCATCGATTGGTTTGATTGACAAGCCATGAACATCATAGGCCCATTATGTCATTGTGCAAGGGTTAGGTGAATGAAGGAATGAAATTCTCCCGAACTGCAAACCGAAAAGTGATGTAACAACGGTCACAGCACGCACGCACTCTTGCCCGACCACCTCGAGTGACGAACCAGAATTTTATGACCGCTCCAACTTTTTCAGTCTGACCGATTGCTGATTGTCCATCTCCGAATGAAATATATCATATCATATATCATATATATATATATATATAATATCATTATCATCATAATCAACGTATAATGAAATACAGAGAAGCGAATTTCTCTGATCGCTGTTAAACTCACAATGCATATGCATTGGGGTTTGATGGACAGGTACTACTAGGGTGTCCAGCCACTAAGCAGGAGAACGATTAGGGTTCTCAATGAAAGCCTTTAGTTCTGATAAGAACCTCAAGAAGGTGAGTGAAACGATGTGGAGGCCCATTTACTTAGTGCAATTACTCCTACACCA